CTTTCCTGAACCATTTTTACTTTATGGCAGGGCGCATTATCCTGCTGAAAGAGGCCACTGCTATCAGGAATACCGTTTCCATTAAAGGGTGTACATGGTCGGCAACAATGCTTAGGTAGGTGGTACGTGTTAAAGTAACCTCCACATGATTGGCAGGACCCAAGGTTTCCCAGCCTAACATTGCCCAAAGCATCATACTGCCTCCGCCAGCTTGCCTTTCTTCCCATAGTGCATCCTGGTGCCATGTGTTCCCCAGGTAATTGATGCACACTCACCCGGCCAAAACTTGATGTAAAAGAAAACAGGATTCATCAGACCAGGCCACCTTCTGCCATTGCTACATCATCCAGTTCTGATGCTCACGTGCGAATTGTAGGTGCGTTCAGCAGTGGACCAGGGGTCAGCATGGGCACCCTGACGGCTTGAACCACAGGGGCCAGTCTTTGCTCCCCCCATGCATCAATGAGCCTTGGCTGCCCATGACCCTGTACTGGTACTAGTACTGACCACTGCTCTCTGACTCTGAACACCCCACAAGAGCTGCAGTTTTGGAGATGCTCTGACCCAGTCCTCTAGCCATCACAATTTGGCCCTTGTCAAAGTCACTCAAATCCTTAAGCTTGCCCATTTTCCCATCTTCTAACACATCAACTTTGAGGAAAAAATATTCCCTTGCTGCCTAATACATCCCACCCACTGACAGGTGCCACGGTAACCTGTCAAGTGTTATTCACTTCAGATTGATCAGTGTATTGAAAGAGTTGCTGTAAGATGATGAGTGCATCTACTGGCTCAGATCTTAAGAGGATTTTATTTTTTCTACACTTATTATAGTTATGTAAACCACATATAGAAGATTTATATATTTTTTTTGCTTTAAAATTAGGCAGCAAGATGTACTCAGAAAGCACCACCACCCCATAAAACTATTTAAAACCGTATTTTATGATTTTAAATATATGTTGCCAGCCATCTGAAAATAAGGCTATTTTATATCAATCCTAAAAATCTCACTTTTTGTCGGCACAAGTTTTTTTTTTTTTTCATCCAAAGCAGTGCGTTAAGCTTGAAAGAAAGTTCAGGCGGTGTAGAGGAATATATTTACATGTAAATGGTTGTGTGTTGTGTTTAATCCTCCAAAAGACTATTCCAATTCAATTCCAGAGGGGCACCACATGGAGAGACGGCCCTTTATACTCCATTCTACTATCACATTTAGTGGTTGTCCTTGTGGGCCTTGCCTCTTCAATGAAAATGGAATTACAACTGGGCATAATAACCTGCCTCAGCACACACCGACTGTACTTGAAAGTGGAAATTTGTAGGTGTTTGTCATCTTGACGTGATAAGGATATAGATTTCACAGTTATTAAAGCGGGTAAGGTTGAAATGCTCTGACATTGCTGTATCCAGCGATCAGTTTATTGGATTATGTGGGTCAACGTATTGATACATGTATATTACGTTTGGTGGAGCTGTCAAGATTTATTTTTGTCTTCTGAGTCTCTACATGCAGCCAATGTTGGGCTGTGTCTGCTCTGTCAAGCTTCGCACCATGTTTGTTGTCCTTATATTGTACATCATAAAAAAGCCAATGATAACCTTTCTCAGAGGAACCGGGACATAAAAAGACTAACAGTCATCAGTGATGCTAGCTGCTCTGTGAAACTGTACTTAGACTTCACTTTTGCATGCTCGCAATGACAATGCTAGCATGTTGATGTTACATAGGTTTAATCTTTACCATGTTAATGTTATATCCTATTTTAGGGTATAGCATGCTAGCATTTGCTAATTAGCACCAAACACAAAGTACAGCTGAGGCTGTTGGGATTCACATTAGTTTGCAGTTATTTGGTTCTAAACCAATTTGGACAAACTGGAATTTTGATTTGATAATGGCGCCAGAGGAAAGGTCAGGGGGTCAAAGTTACAATGTATCCTCTGAGGATCAGCAATGCTCTATAGTTATAGTTGTAGAGGTGTTTTAGTAAAAAACTAAAATCAACCTCACGGTGGTGCTAGAGAAAAAGTCAGAGTAAGAGTAAGTCAGCAGAAGTCACGTTTGGGGACCATGAATGTCCAAATTTCACAGCCATCCATGTAATAGTTGAGAGATTTCAGCCTGGACAGTGCCATGAAGCCAGCATGACTAAAAAATTTCCATGAGGGGCAGATGTATATGTACGGTAAACATAATAGGCCAGTGTTGTTTGATTATAGCTATTATACATGTGTGGTTAACAGCAGTCCTAACTGTCTGTTCCACAGGTGTCAGACTTGTGGATGCCAGCTTTAGGCATGGTCCTGAGCTCTGTCCATTTTTCAGCTCCCTATAGTAAAACAAGCAGAAGGCAGCAGTATTCTAGCATACTGCCAAGGTCAAACACGGTCACACCCATTATGGTACCAAAATATCTCTCTGTCTTTTTTTTTTTTTTTTTTTTTTTACTTATCTCTCCTGTTACTTAAAGTCAAAATGTGTTTTTTGGCAGAACAAAATCCAATTATGTCAGAGAACAAGAAGATATACATCTTATCTAAGAAGAGAAATATGAATATTTTGCTACACTTGTAGGAAACCTAAAAAAGACAAAACTTATCTGTCTGCACAAGTTGACCTACACATTTCAACAAGCTCTATTGATCCTTCTTAAAGGGAGGACAAATTTTGAGCTTGTTTATTCTTTGGGTCCCTTTAATATAATCAAACTGACTGAACATGGTGTTTCATCCTCTGATAATCTGGAGCCAACTGCCAGGTTTCTTTATCTTGTGGGTATATGCTTTCCATTTGATGGTGCAGTTTGTCTCTCTGTTTCTCTTTCTGCCTACCTATGCATGCTCTTTGATTATTTTGTGACTCCCTCTTTCAATCACCATTGCTCTGTTGTCCATCCTTTGCCTCCTCAGTTCATCTATCTGTCTCTCAGATTTTTTTTGAATTCCCTCTCCTGCTCTTTTCTTATCTATCTCTATCACTGCACCTCGTCTGTCTCTTTCACGGTTACACCCTGATTTGTCCTCATCTCTCTTTATGACCTCTCTCTCTCTCTCTCTCTCTCTCTCTCTCTCTCTCTGATTGGCCACATGCTAATGTGTTTGTAGATAGCACACAGCGATAGAGAGAGGCCATTAGAGAATGTAATGACTGCCAATGGTAGCATCTAGGACATTCAGGACGGTGCAAGTGTTGGAGTTGGCATGTATCAGCAGTGTATTTGGACATTGGTATTTATTGTGTGTGCGTGTGTAGTGGCTTTTATATTTCTTTAATGCAATGCGTGTGTGTGTGTGTGTTTGTGTGTGTGAGTCCATGCGAGCGTTCATAATACAGGGCTGTTGATCACAATGAATGATTGATGACAGGGAGGTCATGGATAGAGCTCACGCAGGCCCACGTAGAGGAAAGAATGAAAACCAACCCTGGCAGCATCACGCCACATCAGTGTGCCCAAGCTGTGTGTACAACCTAGACAGGGATTCTTCAGCAGTGGGCCATTTATTTATTTACTGTAGTTTGTTGCTTCTTTATCATGTGCTAAGATATAAGTCAAACCCACGTTCCATCCGCTACAGCATGAAAAATTTCTAACTAAAAGCCAAAGCAAATATCTTGACTCAACGTTTTTCATGCATTTTTTTATGTTGTTGAACTTGTTTCATCATCGTTATCTTTCACAATTCAAACAATACTAAAATATTGATGACAGAATGACCTCACACAGCTGAGATCTCGCGCCATTTCTGCACACATACGTGCAAAGTGACGAACATAAATCTGACTTAAGGCTTTAATCAATAAAAGTGATGTGACATAACGCCTTATTGATCTGTACTGAGAATATATTTCCTCTTTCACCTAATTGAAAAAGGTCACTGCACTGAGATAGGAAGTGACTCTACAGCAGGGTGGGTGTGATCCTCAGTGCATTGTGTGACAGTTTATTTTCCTCATCTGCTGTAGTTCTGAGTCATGTGATCACAGATGAGTAGAGTAGTATGCAGTGTTGTGAATTACTTTGATGATGATTTATGTCGCCAAGCTAAATGGGTGATATCCTTCCCCTGAACTTCTTGCATGTAGGAGACAACAACATGTTGCAAAGGTTGCTAGTTTCTCAGATTTTATAATAGCAGCTGCAGTCAGTGTGATTGTGCAGGTGTCTCTGACTGAGAGGCACACAGACAGCCGGCATGGAGCTTATATCATCATCCCGGCTGTGTGTATGTGCCTGTGTGCTTGCATGTGTGTTTACGTATCCGCGTAAACATTTTATAAAGCCCTTTATTCAGCTAAGCTGCTCGCGTTCTGAGCAACACGACACTACTGACAAGACAACAGCATGCACGTTCGAGTCTGCTTGTGCACAGCTCTCTCACCACCTCCCTTTCCTCTTTGGTGCAGAGGGCAGTGAGAGCGCTTTCTCTGGATGAGATGTGAAGTGATGGCTGACTCTTGCTGTGGGGGAGAGGTCCCTACAAGGACAGCACAGCTTTAGAGGAGACGAAAAGCCTTCTTATCCCCACATTATGTTTCTCTACACTGCTGTTTCCTGTTAGTTAATGGGATGATTTGTGGTTGCAATTGTGGCTTTGTTATAACCAGAGTGTTGTTAACTTTGCTGTGTAGATAACTTGTTGGTTGAGAACACAAAAGCTCTTTCATCTTTCATCCTTATTCATAAACTTTTAAAGTAGCAGCATCACTCTACCTGCAGAGCAACCACTGTTATCCTCAAAGAATAGCAATGTCTTGTCATATTTGTGAGCGAGTTGTAATTGTTGATAAGTATAGCTTTGTAAACTGTGTGTATGTTAAACCAAAACTTGATTTATGTAAGCCATTAGGTATAATATCCACTTCATTAAATGTAATCAAACACCCAGAGTCACGCTGCTGAGGTGGTGGAACCATTTCTACGTCTATAATGTGAGTTATCTACTATATTTGATTTTATGTGCCCACTTCCGTTAACTCTGTGTGCTTCCCTCTCCAGGTGTTCAACACCTACTCCAACGAGGACTATGACCGACGTAACGAAGAGGTGGATCCTGTGGCCTCCTCCGCAGAATACGAGCTGGAGAAGAGGGTGGAGAAACTGGAGCTCTTCCCTGTGGAGCTGGAGAAAGGTGGGAATGAAAATCTAAGAACACAGTAACGAGGAGGTGGATCCCGTCGGTTTCCTATTATACCCAGTTGACAGAATCACCCACATATGGGATGTCACTTATTTTCTTTATTAAAGGTGTCATATTTCTATATTTTTTTCTGTCCAGGTTACAGGCAACCATTACTTTATTCATTCCTTTCTTTTTTTCATAACTTGGCCAAATCATTTGTAAGTCTTATTTTCAGCTTCCTGTTTCAGTGCAGCAGTACACTACAAATCGTTCAAAGACACTGTAGTGCACAGTTTGTCCTAATTCCCCAGCACGAGTTACAAAGAGGTGATATTGCATCTTCTTCACTTGTCTTTCCTGTTGAGGCTTTCGTGTGTTGAAATCCAATATTGCCAAGGACCTAAAATAGACATCGTAGGATTTCACCATCCACTATCTGTTATGTAACCCTAACAACTCATGAATGATTAATGCAGGATGGGGGTGGACGAATGCTACATGGGAAGGGAATTTCCCATCCAGCACATTTCCTATTTATGTGAAGGCCACTATACCTGTAGTGAATGCCTTCTCATCTTCTCCATTAATAAATCAATTGTTTGAGTGCCTGACGTCAGTTTACTAGGAGCCATTTTGGGTTTTATCCAAGCTCAATGGAAAGTTAGGAAATGGAAGCCCTTAACATTGCTGTTCCCCAATCACGCACACAAACACACACTTCAGCAATGTGGTCTGTGTGTTTCCAGATGAAGACGGTCTGGGGATCAGTATCATCGGGATGGGTGTTGGTGCTGACGCAGGCCTGGAGAAGCTGGGCATCTTCGTCAAAACCGTCATCGAGGGCGGAGCTGCTGAGAGAGACGACAGGTGAGAGCTGCTTTCCTATTGGATGTCACACATATTACTGAGCAATTACTGAGTGTGGAGAAGATATTAAAGCATACGAGACTGCATGAAAGCTCAGCGTGTGCTGGACCAAAGAAGCACTTATCACCTAAAGTACAAAAATACACACAGCAATTAATCAGCTATTTTGTTTCCGCTTTCCCAACAACACCTTCTCTCCCTCCCACACACACACACACAGTCACATAGTCACACACATGCACAGTCACATTCTGTCCCTGTCAGATTTAGCAGCAGGGGTTTGGATTAGATCGACTGGGAGAGGCACAGTATGGGACATGAAGTTTCACACAGGACTGTACTGTGTGTGTGTGTGTGTGTGTGTGTGTGTGTGTGTGTGTGTGTGTGTGTGTGTGTGTGTGTGTGTGTGTGTGTGTGTGTGTGTGTGTGTGTATACAGTGTATTGTGTGACAGACACATTGCATTAGAGTGTATTATGTGTCCGTATGTATTGTCAGTGTATTCTGTATTAGTTTGCAAAAGTTAGTCTGTAGAAAAATGAGAGGCTTATAGGCTTTCATATTCACAGTGTGTCTCTGTCTGTATCCCTGGATTGTGTGTGTGTGTGTGTGTATGTGTGTGTGTTGCAAGGGAGAAACTGTGTGTATGTTGTGTGTCTTATAAAGTGTGAACAGTGCAGAGTAAGCACTCAGCCCAGGGGAAGAGGAGAACATGACAGCTTCCCAACAGGCGAGCTGTGGTTTTCTGCCTCTAAACCACCAGCTTCTACCTATTAGTGTGTCTGTGTAGTTCAGGTTCCCCATAAACAGATTAAAAAACAGATAGGCACTCCCATTCCATGCAGTATGATAGCAGTAAGTATCTAAGCTCCACATACACACTGGAAAACCTAGTGCACTGGGGTTGTTTGCAGTAGGTGTGTGTCCTTCAGGGATTCATTTTTTTCCCCCCTTTATGTAGCAGCCAGAGTTGGCTTTTTCAGAAACACATGAGAGTGAGATTAGTTAAAAATGTGAGAAAGTGAGAAAAGTTGATCCTGTTCTAAGATGACTCCAAAAGGTCTCATTTCCCTCAGAGAGTGGAAGAAGTAGCTATGAAAAGTTGAAAAGATCAGAGGAAGAAGCTGTGTTAAAATTCAATTCATTACTGGGAAAAAAAGCAACTTTAAAAGAAGATTTATGTTAAATAATGACTAAATATATAAACTATTAAAATATGAACAATTATTACATATTTGCCTCGTACAGTAGGACTTTTACATAAGAATGTAATGTATTCTTTAAGCCACTCCCTTAGTGATACTTTGACGTTTGTGGAAATACGTGATAGTGCAGTGTTAAAACATGATAAAGCATGAGTAGTGTCTCTATTACATTAAATGATGGAAACAGAAACATCCTTTTTTGTGAATCTGCAGCTCTGCCTGTGTCCCCATGATAGATTTCACAATAAACCTTGATCACTATATGAGAGGAACGAATGGAAGACTCAATATATTAGTAATACATTCTGGATAACTTGTTCATTCACCCTCAGTTCACGTGCTATGTTGCTCACACACACACTCAGGGAAGGAGTCACCAGCCAGAAAGTAATTGTAATCATTATCCTTTCCAGCTATAGGGCTTTCTATTGTTTGCTGAGTCAGACTTAATGGTCTGAACACACACACACTCACAGGCAGACAGATAGATGGGCTTGGCTGTGGCTCACTGTATTGTCTGGGGCAGATGACCCTAGTTGTGTGTGTGTGTACATTGGTGAGAAGGAGGTTATAAGTTGAAGGTATTTATGTGTTTTGGTTTATTTGTGTGAACTGTCATCTTCCTTGTCATTTTGTTTTTGTTTTGTCCCCGCTGATTTTGCTCAGAAGCTGTATGTCAACCAGCCTCAGCCACCTAAAGCCAAATTGAGGATGCTGTGAAGGTCAGAAAAGAGTCTGAGCTGCTGACTGAGAGATGACCAGCTCGCTCTCTGTGTGATGCGGCTCTTTACATCCATGTGACGGCTTTGGTCAATGTGTTGGGTTTGAGTCCTGAAATAAAGGAGTTCTCAGCTTTTGCTGCAATGATTTTGACCACGAACTTATCTGCCTCTTATGAGTTCCTCAAGTTTATGGAAGTATAATTCTAAATCACTTTAATATCAGTGTCCCTGAAATAGGTTGAAATTGAAATCCTTACATTTTAATTTTATTCTCGAAAAAACTGGGCCCTTCTGTGTTAGTTCCATCCTGCAAATCAAGAACATTTGAGTTAAGAGGCTTTCATCAGTCAGCGGCAAGATGGTGCTCAGATTCCAGCATTCATACACATTTACACCAAATGCTGTAGTCAGATTCTATGACTATGCATGAACAGAATTTGTATAAAGGTTGAGGATAAATGGAAACTGTATTGGTGCATGTTAATTGATCTCTGTAGAACTGGATAAAACTCTCATGAAACAGTAATTCATTATCCTCTCAATTATCCTGAGTGTCACCACTCTCCAGTCTCCAGAGTAGTTGAATGTTGCTTTGATTGGACCAATTTCTATCATAAAAATACAAATTCAAACAGTTGAACAAGATTAAAGTGTTCATAGATATTGAAGAGGGATTAGTAGAAGCCCTACTGGACCAAATAGAAGCAGTACCAGTATAGTAGGTTGATATGGTAGAAGAAAGTGATGCATGTGTTTGGCCTTCAAGCAGTGAAGTATTAGAACAATATGCTGTTGAAAAATAATGAGAGCTTGTTTTTGTTGGATTCATATGTAGAAAGAATTATTCAAAACTTAGATTCAGATTCCATCTTAGTCTGGTTTTTATGCAGATTTTCAAGTGGATTTGAACTGAATATTTAGCAAGGACATCTCTTTCAATTGATTTGTTCACAATTCCCATAAAAAGTGGATCATCGGGAGTTTCAAGTCAAGAACTTTGCTGACCTCTCGTCATGTCCAGAGCAGAGATGAAATGCCGGCTGTGTTGTGGCTCAGGGCTCAGGGCTAGCTGGCTGCCATGTCCTCGTTAGCCCTCCTAGTTTGTTTTGAGCCTCATCTCTTCTGTCTCTTGGTTAGGCAATAGTCTGGAGTTATTGCAGCGGAAATTTGTGACCGCAAGAAAGTCTTCTTTTTTTTTTTAAATAATGTGAATATGCATGATAGGCCAGTTTGTTTGTCCCTTGTGCCTTTTTGAAGTATATTTGCCGCATAAGTCATAATGTAATTTTAAATTTAGTCAGTCATTTGCAACAGTCATTGTCTATGAGCTATATTGTACTTTCAGCCCACATGTACACACAGATGGTGAACACAGAGTGACACACCAGAATCACCCGTAAATCAAAGACAGTGATACATACACAATACTACACTACTGCTACAGAAAGTGTTGAATGAGGCTTTCACTTGTGTGTGTGTGTCAGGATCAAGGTGAATGACCAGATCGTGGAGGTGGATGGGACCAGTCTGGTGGGCGTCACCCAGAGCTTTGCTGCCTCCGTCCTCAGGAACACATCAGGAGTGGTCAGGTAAGACCTGCAGACAAGCAATCCTACCTAATTATGGTACTCCACCATCAGATAATGGTTAAACATGAAATAAAATGTTGATGTAATTCTTTTTATTGCATACACACAAATGATTTGTGTGTTATTACCCACTGATCCATCTTTGGATTACCATAAGATTATAGAAACCAAAACAGCTACCAGCCCCAAGAGCCAGACTATAATCGTATAGTATCAGACGTAATTATTACCAAAGTTAAGCCTCAAGAAATGTCCTTTAAATCCAGCTGTTATCAGTGACTTCTACGCAGAATAAAAGGAGGACAGTCTTCACTCTTCACTCCCACTGCATGGTATAATTCTGAATGCTGTTTGTTCGGGTGTCATGGTGCAAAAGCTGCAAAACAGACGCTAAAGCAGCCATCCTCAGAGACGCTTGAGTTGTTTGGCAGGCCCCTTAGCATCATTACCATATCTGAGATAGGTGAAGATATGGGAATACAATATGTGAAAGTCCACTTAGAGCAGTTGGGAGCTCAGAGCACACACACACAGACAATATGCCAAGAAGGCTTTGATTTGGAAAGCCAGGGCTGTCCTTGGCACCGTTGGAGCCTGCCATCTCCGCTTTCTGTTGTTTCTTGCTGTTGTCTTTTCTCTCGTTGTTTTACGACCACCGTCTGTTATTGTGCACACCCCTTCCTGTCTGACTCTCTCTTTTGACTCTTCCTTGCTGTCACTGTTCCACTTTTTTCTTCTCCCTACATGCCATGTGCTGTTTTCACACCTCTTCATATTTTTGTTAAGCCTTGTATTCTTTATCATGCCCCCATTTGGCTTAATTAGCTGATCCATCCGTAGACACGCTGCACATGGGGAGACAGCTGTTATATCGGTGTTAAATAATCCAAGGCCTCAGTGTGGTGTTCAACCTCAATCCTATTCTGGTCGATTCTCTGTGGGACTCAGCTGTGGAAAGATAGATGTGTATGTGTGTGTGGAGCATAGTGCCCGGGGAAAAGCTGGTGGCTGAACAAAGACATGTCCAACTGTATCAGAACAGACTGTTGGCTGGACAGATGCTGTTTGCTGAACTAATATTGACAAGGTGGTGGGGTTCACATACCAGGATGTGGCACTACAGGTGAAGCAGCCTTGAAAAGGTTCCATCTATCACCTGTCCATCTATCTTGCAGGTATAAATAGTATGAGCAGTGCAGAAAGCTTTGAAGTGTAAAGAGCTAGGGTTACACTGAGTTATTTAGACATTTAGATCTAGCACACTAAATAAACACTGAGTTGTAATGATAATTACAGTCACTATTTATTATTTGTTATTTCTCAAGACCTATTTTCACCCTTCTCTCCCTCCGTGCTCTCTCACTATTTCAGTCTTCCTCCATCATGTCTCACCCACTCACTCCTTCTTCTCTTCCTCCTTGGTAAATCCTTCCCTCTTTCTGTCTGATCACCAGAGGTTTTATGGCCAACTGTCCTAGATTTACCATTTTAGCTATATTTAACCCTGACTTCCAGCAGGAAATCATCCAGATTTTAGTCAGAACCCCCACCAATGGTTTTAAATGCCCTGTCATATAGATCACTTGTGGAGAAACACAAGAGAAATATGTACTTGGTAACATAATGTGTAAAACAGAATGCACGGCTCTGCCTCACTTATGGAAGACAGTTGATGATTTTTAGACATAATTTTAGCCCAACATGCACCTTTATTGGCTATAAAGTTACTCAAACTAATTATGTGAGTTGCATCATAATCTTCTTCTCTAAAGTAAGTCTTCTAAAAAGTCCACGCTGACATTTGTGTAAAGCTGGCTTTCTTGACAAAATACCAAACAAGCATTAACTCTAATTCTATGCACATTCCTCCTACATTGATTGCTATTTATACTTTTAAAGGACGAGATTGGCATTATTCTATATTTATTTTAATATCAACAAATCCCATGAAAATGCGAAAACCAACAATGATTTGATCCTTCTCACTAAGACGTCGCTGTTAAGCCAAAACTTATTATTTATTGTCCAAAAACACATCAGTGTTGCACAGGGTTACATGTTCCTTCATTATGATGGAGATGGACATGTTTATTTAGAGTCATCCCTACACAGCATCCTACTCCTGTAAGTACTCATTAGCGCACCAAATGTGTATTAGTCCGCAGCTGAAAATAGTCCCCAGCAAATGCGCTATTTACTTTTCAAATGAGAGTGCCCAGCTGTTTTGGAAAACTACTTTACCTTTTGAACAATGAAACTATATATTTGTGTCTGTTTTTAAAGATTTATGTCTTCAATAGAACACATGGGTTCAGAAAATATTGACAGAAGGACTTACCTATTGTTGATCGTTTACTGGGATATGTTGAAAAATATAAAATAACATCTTCATTCTTTAAGTAATTCTGTTATGGTGCACCCAATATCCGAAGCCTGAATAAAAAAAAAGAGGAATCTCTACATGACCTTAAATATAATGATGGTCTCCTCCATGGTTGACCAGTCATATATTTGTCATCCAGTGCCATCTAATGTAGAAGACATGTGTCCTGTAGAACATCTCCCAGGATTTTTTTTTTTATCTTTCCACTTAAGCTTTTCTTTTCACTCATCAAAATGTTGTCCCTTCGAGTTCCTGCAATACTGTATATTTCACAAGAGCCATGTCTGTATTAATTGGAGTAAATGAGATCAGTAGTGAAGGTTTCTGCAGTTGACTTGAAGTAGCGCTGTGTGTGGCAGCCCCAGAACAGTGGGAGGCAGGGTGGAACCAAGACAAACTCCCCATGCGTGAGGAGAAAGGCTGTTTCCAGGTCAGCTGCTTCTCAGACCTCCCTGCTGTCCAAAGGCTTGCAGAACTTAGTTTAGCCAGGGCTCTTTTCTTTTTTCTTACTTTCTATCTCTGTCCTGCCCTTCAGTTGTTCCTTCACATGTACATCAAATACGCCTCTCTGCTGGAGCGTAAGGCCTTTCCCACATTGCCTTTAGAAATATATGAAAGAGCTCTCGGGAACTGAATTCCCTTGATTAGGCCCTACTTCAAATGCACTGTCTCTCCCTCTCTTTCTGTGTAGCTCCCTCTCTCACTATAACACACATACAGTAGATAGGAACGCTCTCACACAGTCATAGACCCCCTACTGGGTTGGAGATTTAGAGAGTTATATCAGAGTACATCATTCTGCCTACATTTTTTGATTATTATGTGCTCTTGAATCTATAAAGACTATATTTTTCTATAATAAACATGCGAAGAGACACACTATTTGCATGAGGGCAGGTTATATTTGTGGCAAACCTAAACCTTAACAAGAGATTGCACGGTCTGCATTTTAATGTGGTATGTACTGTATGTAGGTCCCATGTGTAACTACAGTAAGTAGTCAGTAGCTCAGAGGCAGAGCCTGTGGCTTTCTCTGTTTAGTTCCATGCCAGACTAATAACAGGCTGCCTGGCCGAGCTGACTGTCTTCTGACATTACTATGTGCGTCCCGTCTCCCGGCCCTGCCCTGGTACGTCAGCAGATATCGCCGTCATTGCTGTGTGGCTGTGGGCCTCTACTGCTCTCACACAATGACGGCTGTGGTCATTTTAATGTACAAATACACGCAGGCAAGAAATTGGAGGAGAAATTTTGTAAATAATGTTATACGTGTAATACGTAAAAAGGACATAACTATGTATGATGTGCCTGTTTGTCTCAATGAGAAATGTTTTTCTCTTTTATTTAAACTTCTATATGACGTTGTAAAATGAATTATAACCATGAACAAATAAGGCTAAGACAAATGGTAGACTGTTTAAAATGAGTGTTTATACTTTGTCAGAGACTACATTTCCCATAAGCCTTTTCACTTCCGATTGCTACAGAAGCATATTTTCTGGGGCGGTAAAATGCAGTCTAAAGACTTGTAATGATTTAATACATAATTAAAATAATAACATAATTGTTTTATTGTGTCATGTTTTTTGAAATGTTCAATAACTGTTGACATGCGTGTTTTGCCAGGGCTGTCTATAACGCCGCATGTTGTTGCAGGTTTGTGATTGGCCGAGAGCGTCCGGGCCAGCAGAGTGAGGTGGCCTCGCTCATCCAGCAGACCCTGGAGCAAGAGAGGAGACAAAGAGAGCTGCTGGAGCAGCAGTATGCCCACTATGATGCTGATGATGACGAGGTAATAACCACACACAACACTGGACTCTGTACAGGATGCTGTAAAAGATCGGGCATACATACTTATGATGAGATTATGTACATCATAATGTGGATCTTAAAATATTTCCAATGTGCAAATAGGATAAGATGCCACCCACTTAATGAGAGGAACATCATCTTATAATAACAATGCTCATTATATCTGCATTTATTTGAAGTTAAGCTGCTACGAGGACACACACTTCTTATACATGACACTACATTGGAAAAATGAGGCTTCTAGTTGTCACTTAATGTAAATCAGCTCCCTTCTCGTGACAGTTGACTGGAAGTTTTAGCTTATTAACGCCATAAAACTGTCTGACAGTAGGCTTTGATATACTGAAACACTCTCTCTCGCAGACACACACACTAAGAGGATGCCATGCATGTGAACTTCAGTCCTAGAAAGCATCACTCAGCCTTTCCCCTGTGATTCTGCTGCTTACTCACAGAGCATTTAATCCACCAGACACTGAGCTCATGGCCGTGCAACTCATGCTATCCATGTGTGTGTGTGTGTGTGTGTGTGTGTGTGTGTACACATGAAATGACACACCGAAGTAATGTAAATCAATGCAAGATGTACCTTTTTGCATTGATTTACCATAACAGCAGCATTTGTGTGTAGACTTGAAGTAATTTCCTGGTGGATGGCGAATTGAGAGTCTTCATGCATAAGAAACTCCTTGCCAGGCCCCAGTAGCTGATTCTAGCACTCCCGTAATCACGGCTCCATACACATGTAACACTGTCAGCTCTTATTAAAGCCCCTATTAAGAGTTGAGGCTCCATTTCAGCCTTTAAGGAAGACCTCACTGTGTGTGGTTTAAACACGCAAGGAACCTCCCACTTTCCGCTTTCTTGCTGCTGTCTGTCATCGTTTAAGATCAAAATAAACTTGGGCTAAAAATTTATTTGAACAGCCTGTGCTACTGATCGCCGGAAGGACACATAAACATAAGTGGTGACCGCTGTAAAAACAAACACTTGAAATCTGCCACAGTTGAACACAAAGCCATCCATAACTCCCTATGTAACTGTCGATGGGGTAAACAGTTAAACAACCATTACAGAGATCTATGGGGCAATAAAAGGAGGTCATTAATATTAATATCTCTATAAATATTAGAGGACGTTCTCACCGGTGGGTGGGGAAGGAGGCTATTTCTCACTTAGAGTGCTGCCAGGGTTGATGTGACAGACAGCTTTTTATTGGCAATGCCGGGGCTCCGGTCCTAAGATAAACGGGATGCTCCTTCAGTAGACATCAAACACTCACATGTCAGCCCATTTGTGTGTTTGATTAGAAGTAATCTAACACACATGCATGCCCATCTGTCAGAGGTTAAATGAGAACACACACGGGAAAAGCATGGAGACACACACACGCTAAGTCTAATTAGTTTATTACCATATTCACTTTATTGCTACTTTCGTTAGTTTTATATGATTGTGAATTAAATTAATAGAATTTTGAACCGCGTTTTGGACAAAACAAACAATTTGAAGACATCAACTTGGGCTCTGGGAAATTGTGATGTTCATTTTTCTGTATTTTGTGAATCATGAATAAAATAAATGATCTACAAAATAATTGTGCATAAAAATAATCAGTAGTTGCAGCCCTAGACTAAGATACAATTTTGCTTGTTTTGCAAATTATGTAAATGTGAAGATACAGAATAAGAGGCTCACTGTTCCACTAAAGTCAACAAAAAGTAACACATCAATCAACAATGAATAGAAGTAGCTGATTCGCATTAATGTTCTGACAGATCTATTCTCTCGTGTCACCCTTAACATGGAGACACTTAAGTAAGATTCCAAACTGCAGGGAGCACAACATGTTCACTTCAAAGGGCACTGTGAACTGTGTAGGGAAGAAGGGAACAACGGTTCGTCACTTCACAATAAGCTGACAAGAAAGATTACCCACCAGCCTTTGCGCCTCATAGGAGCGGCAAAAACTAACAATAGAGCAGACCACAGAGTTTGTATAACTGTAATTATTGTCGTTGTAACTAATGTTATCATTATTTATATGATAATTTGGATAATTTTAGAGGTTAGGTTGCCTAAAAACAACAATGCTACCATTTCTTGTAAATTAATCCAATCACATTCATTCACTAATAACATACATTTTAATAGAATATAAATAGAAGAAGTTATGGAAATATAAGTTTTATAATTGTATCAGTTTGTTTTAATGTATATTCAATATTTAATTTTAGTAAATGTCCACAGTAGCAGCAGGTATCCGAGGTATTTACGTTACCAGGGTAACACACAGCGGAACTGACGTGTGCTTTGTTGATGTTGCAGGATGTTGGAAGAATTTTGTCGAGGGAAGTTCCCTTAACCGACATTCCCTGAGCAGGGAGCAGGGAGTAGGGAGTACTGTTTATGTACACTGTGGATTAAGGGTGGGGGAAAAAATCGATACAGCATAGTATCGTGATATTTGCCATGGCAACACGTAACATGTATCGATACACGGATGCCAAGCATCGATATTTTATTATATAAATTGCAGGTGGGAGTTTTAACTTTTTGGTACTAGAATAATAAAATCTAGTGCTTTTTTAGTCCACTAGAAAACTTAACAGGACCATATAGAGGACTGAAAAAGTGATATGAACAAATGAGAAATGTATCTTTTTAGATAAACAGATGTTGACAAAAGTTTGACTTTAGGGACCTAATTGGAAGTTGGAAAAAGGTAATAAATTGCAATATATGTCAATATATTTAAAATAAATATATAAAATCGAATCGCAACATAAATATCGTGATAATATCATATCGTAGGGCCTCTGGTGATTCCCACCCCTACTGTGGATCGGAACGCAGTCATGGACACACACATACACACACACGTCACGATTATATCATATCGGGCAGATAGTAGAGACTTCTCAAGACAGTTGCATGATTGCAGAATTGGTGTGAGTATAAAAATAAATGATATTGACATTTCATTACATCCATAATTCTGTATTTGGGTTTAATTATCTTGAGCAACCGATTTGACTCTGCCTTATTTTTTAGCGACGGATGAGATCGGAGCTTTCAGAGAAAGTTAAGTTTCCCAGTCGTAATGACGACTTGGAAGGTGAACGGTATTTGTAAACTGCTAATTATGATAACTACCAAATGACATGAAGACTGCAAATTTTTTAGTTTATTCACTTACATTTACAAAAACATTATATACATCTTTAAGTAATAAAGTAAAAAACATTAGATCCAATAAAACAATTCTTCAAACATTGCAATTATGTCAGTGCTTACTCACATAAAGCTGCACAAAGTGGCTCACACACACACTCTTTCTCTTGTCAAAGGAGCAGCCACAGCCCTTTACTCCAGTGAGTGTCATTATGCCAACATCATGGTCAAATTAGAAATTCATAGTACAGATCATCTCACACTGAGCACCCTCTAAACAACAAGGTTTCTCCTTAAATTGTCCCTTCCTCTCCCGATTCTTCATGCATGTGGTTCAGAGGTGATGCATTTATCATATGCAAATTGGTGTTTGACTGCCCTCCCATGTGTTCAGTTGTTAACTCCACCTTCAGTAAATGGGGCCTCAATGTAGGATGCTGGTACCATGGCAACAAGCAAGCCCATTATGGAAATGGTACTCTGTGTTGGCTGTGCATCCAAACAAATCAGGCCTGAGCACTGTTATCTGGGTGGGAGATAGATGGGATAGGGACAGAGATGAGGAGAAGATATAGGCCAGGGAGGTGTGTGTGTGTGTGTGTGTGTGTGTGTGTGTATGTGTGTGCATGTGTGTGTTTACTACATGTGTGTGACAGATCAAGACAGAAAGAGAAGTAACTACGGAAAGATTTATTTTAGATAGAATCAGCTGATCCATTTAGATCCAATGCCTAATGCCTAATGGCCAATGCCAACATTCATTATATAGTATTTTGAGAATCAGGGAAAAGAAAAACTGCCTTGAATTTATGCAGCGTAATGGCCCACATTAATATCAAGCCACAAAATGTTCAATGTTTCAGTCCTGTTAAACATTTAAAAGCTGTAATAATGAGTTGTTTCTGGTGACTTTTATTTGTCAGATTTTTTTAATAAATCTTAGATTGCTAACATCTAGATTAAGCTCCATTAGAGACATATTTACAGGCTCACACTTCACTAGTTTTGACCTGTAATCTTCATCCGAGATGGTGACTAGTGAATATAATGTAATAAAAAGTTTCAATTTTGGCCGGTACAACTTATCTTTTGGCTTATTGTTATAGAAATTACACTCACGGCTGACCAGGCTGTCAAAAGGATTTATTTTTGACAAAGTTTTAGCCAGCTAAAGTGGGTTCCCCTAAAAGTTATGTAACTGGTGGCATTAAAATAACATTACTAATGCAATATAGAAAACGAAAAAAGCATGGCATGAGGAAAATGGATAGAAGTCTCCGGTACTGCTTGACACGCAATGTGCAGCAGGTAGAGCAACGTGATGCGCTGTGACTGGAGTAGCTTTGAGGAGAGATGGGAGAAACAGATGAGAGAAGACAGAGAGAAAGAGAGATGTGATGAACGGATGCTGCAACTGGACAGCTGAATGTGTGACTGACTGGCTTCTTTATTGAAGGGGGAATGCTAGTACAGTAGTTCTTCTGGTGACTAAAGCAGGGTTTTCATGACCAACAGTTTTCCCGGGTGAAATGACAACGGCCACTTTCAGATTGAATTAGCTGTAGCTAGCTAGCAGGCAGTTAAATAAGCTAACGTTGGCTAACTCCATGAAGTGGTTGGATATTTTCAGCTGATTCATTTTACAACAATAATTACGTATAAGGGGTCTCATGCACTTGATCATGCAAAACAACACATTCATATTTAGCTTGTATTTAACAAAAAGAGCAAGGTCGTTTCCAGCTGTCTCCTTGTATTCTGCTTGCAGGATGGAAGAGAAAGTAGATCTCACTCACACCTGGACACTGTGTTGTTTGTAAGAAGTGTATCTGCAGAAAAGCGGACTGACTCTGCATTTCCTCTTATAGCAGACGGGAGAGTACGCCACAGATGAGGAGGAGGCGGGGACAACGGTGGCAGACGGGGAGAAGCGCATCGAGGTGTTTGACTTGCCGGAGACAGAGGACATCTTGTCTCCCTCGGAGTTAGATGCCACTAAACTCTACCAGAAGTTTAGAGAGGTAAACTCTGATACTTTCTCATTTATAGTTCAGTCCCTACTGTTAAATATCCCAGTGTGAAGATTACATTACTGATGGGAGCCCACCACATTTGTCTCTGTCAGTGCTTTGAAGAATACATTAAAAAGAATAAATATACCCAACTTGGCCACAGATATAAAGATAATTCAATTAAACAACACATAAGATGCCAACACAGTGGAGTCTAGCACCACTGCTTTACTTGGCAGAGTTATAGTCTTTTGTCAAGATCTAAGATCCGCTTACGCTCCCTAATTCCTAATCTGGATGATTAGAGGTGTGAATACAAAAGCAATGCAAGACCTATGCTCATTACATCTCTAATTATCCATGTGTGGTTAATACCACAGATGAGGAGAAAACGCTAACGCTTTAAACCTGTATTTTAATCGATTTGTATCCTGATCTTGGCAGCTCTTCACACAACCGGCCTCTGAGGAAAAAAACACAACCCTTTGTTGAACTTTTGCTGCCATCGCTTAAATTTAATTCCCCTTAAAAAACATGGTTATAAAACGGAAAATGAATTCACTGACTGCTAACTCGTTTAGGCTTTTTAGGCTGCCGGGAAGCTGGTGATATTGATTGAACACTCCCGCACTGTTTTTGGCACCATAACTCTACAGCCTTTCTGTAGACTGCCGCAATAGCTGTATGACACATTTAACAAATGGCTTCAGCTGCACTGCAGGCACCGCTGGGGATATCGAGTGAAATGATAATGTAATCCCTGGTCACAGGATGTATACATTTGTTCCATTTTCTCATATTCTCTTGATCTTGACCTCTCTCTCCCAAAGCGTAGCTTTTACCTTTTTCATTTATAGGCCTCTCCCATTTTTTACTTCTTCTTTGTCTGTCTTTGTAGCCTTTTATAAACCCGAGAAGAAAAAAAAAGAAGCCAGGCAGCTAGGAAATAAGCCTTTATGTATAAAAAGAATTCCTATCAGTGTGCTGTTCAGTCCATTTACTTTTTGATGATGTTAGTCAATGCAGATGCAGTATTGATATACTCTTTTCTACGAGAAACCTCCGCACTTCACGTTAGAACCTGTTAATGAATGCTCCACAATACTTTTGCATTTGAAATTGTATTTATATTTTCCAAATTCACATTTTGAGGAAATTTCGTAAGAAGAACAGAACCTAAATCTCTAATGTAGATGTCAACATAAGCAGAACAACAAATATGCCCTGCAGAGCTATGATGTGTTTGAAATAATGCCAATACATGTTGAAGATTTCCCTCTGATATTAGAGGGTCATCATAGAGCTTCAATTAAGTGCTGGAACAACTAATTACTTTGTTATGCAATGAGTAAAATTATGTTTTAACTGTATTTAAAGCATTGGTTTTTCTAGTCTGTCTTAAAACAATACTCATGTGCCACATGCCCAAACTGAAACAGTTTTTGCTGGCCGTAATCTTTCCTCCTGTTCCTACTGGACGTTAAAAGATGCCCTCCTAACAGGCTTCCAGTGGAAGTGATGGGGGACGAAATCCACAGTCCAAGTTTATGTGAACTTAATATCAAGTTTTAAGTCTGAGTAAGTGAAATCAAGTGGGTATTTTCCAAAGACCAGGCAGAACAGTCTAGTAGGACAGATTCCCTCTGTTTAGTTTTTTT